TGGTGGTGGTAGTAGTAGTGGTAGTAGTAGTGGTAGCAGTAGCAGTAGCAGTAGCAGTAGCAGTAGCAGTAGCACTAGAAGTAGTAGTAGTAGTAGTAGTAGGAGGAGGAGGAGGAGGAGGAGTAGGAGTAGGAGGAGTAGTAGTAGCAGAAGCAGTAGCGGTAGCGGCAGCGGTAGCAGTAGCATCAGCAAATAATAGTAGACATGGTAGTACTATGTAGCGATGTAGTAGTAGTACTAGTTGTAGTAGTAGTAGTCGTCGTCGTAGTGCCCCTTGTTCAGGAACGCATGGACTGATCTGCAAATCCCACAAAGAAGGTGCCGGGTTTTCCAGGCCAAGTGGCGGTGGTCACAGAGACCGTCTTAGAGGACGTCGTGTAGGTCGCAGAAACCTCGTCAACAAGGCATGATTGAAGCATGCTATTGTCAAGGGGTCCATTGCTCAACAGAAACGTGGTGAAATGATGCAGGAGGATCTGGCTGCGAGGTGCGGTGCCCAGGTGATGCTTCCAGTCGGGAGTGTTGACAGTTTGGGCGTCTTCATTGACAGATCGGACAGAACTGCCCACCACACCACCGTCAAAGACTTTCGGCTGCCAAAGGCAAAGTGCTGTAGTATTGTTATTGGTGGCGCGCTTTTGTTTGACGATCAGAGAGAACGGCACCGCCGCTACTCCCCGGTCAGGAAATGGCAAACCCAATCGCAGATCTGCAGTCCGGATGTAAGACCTCTCCGATGTGTAGCCAAAGCAATGCCAAAGCTGCGTCAAGTTCTCAAGTCGAGCATGCTGACGACTTGCTGAAGAAGTCTACCCGTGCCCACACAATTCTAGCCCGGCTGCAAATCCTGTGTTAGGATCCTCCTGCCGGCTTTGCTCGGCCTCGTTCTTTTCTGCATCCTCCTGACATGGCATGTTCCAAACGTCAACTGCGGTTTCTTCGGGGCTTTATGCACTTTCTGTGGAGTCTGTGGTACACGCTTGAGGACACCCGTGAACCAGCAAACCAGGGATCGGGCAGTCCTCGCTGTCATCTTCAGCTTCATCCTGAAAGTCCGAGTCGTAGTCGTCCTGTACATTCGAAGAGGCTTTTGCAAGGACTCAGCATGCACAAGGGAGACGGCGTGCGGCATCGAAACTGCTGAAAATATGTTCGCATGCATGGAGGGCTTCACAAACTGTCATTGTATTTCATTGTTGCTATTCAACGACAAGGTCCAGGCTAGCTTTGGAACTGAAACGCAGCCCCAATGATCTGCCCTCCCGAATAATCTGCCCATAAACAGTCCGCCTACTCTAACGACAAAGTCCAGGCTAGCTTTGGAACTTAAACGCAGCCCCAATGATCTGCCCTCCCGAATAATCTGCCCATAAACAGTCCGCCTACTCTTAGAAAGGACAGTCCTAAGACAGCAAGGAGCATGTTGGTTTGAATAAAATCTGAAAACAAGCTGAAATAAACGTGAATAATAGTCGATTCCGGGTTTCCGACAAACCGAATTTAAAAAAAAAGAGCAAAAACAAGCCCAAAAAAAAGCAATGATGGATTCTGTTGCATAACAGAAAGCAACAAGAAAGCACAAACAACGCGCACACAAAAACAAACAGAAAGCAAAAAGAAAGCAAAACGAAAGCAAACAAAAACAAACACTCGCAAACATAAAGCACCGTGCCGGTAGTCTACACAAGCAATTGCTGTGCCAGGACCACTTTATCTTCAGAGCCCTCTTCGGTCAAAGGGCAAGTTGAGCTTTCAGTTGCAAGAACTGGGGGCTTGCAGTAGTATGCCATGGGCTGGGCAGAGCTGGAGGCAGAGTGGAGTAGGCCCTACTCCAATGCCCTGTGCCTCGGCCGCATCACCATCAGAATCCGCCATGGAGTGTTTGGCTTCTCGGCAACTTTGGCCAAGCGTCGGATCAAGTCTTCTTGTAGTGTAGTGGAAGCAAATGGGCGCTCACTGAAACCACTCAAAACGAAGACAAATGAGCCCTTCTTGCCGTGGTAGGAAATTGTTGCCTCATTTCCTGTCGTGGCTCGTGCAGATTGCTGGCTGAAGGACGGAGAAATGCCTGCTGCAGCTTCGCAACCCTGATCGTCCCCCATGCTCGCAATTTCCTCACTCGGCAAAACTAGATACTTTCTCTCGAAGCACGAAGTAGTATGCAACCTCAGCACGTATCACATGCAAAAGCAGAGATCTGTGCCCAAACCCGCAGCACCTCTTCGCGGCTTGGATCCCAGTGAGTCGCTTGACCTCATTCGACATTCGAGATTCCGGGTCTAGATATGGGCTAACCGAGCTCAGGGTGTACGTCGGATTGAGGTTCATGGCTCCAGCTATAAAGCCTGAAAAGCACACAGTGCTTTCCCGTCCCATGCCGAAGAAACTTGCCACGCTGTAAAACTCCCACAACGCCCACAAGTTGGATCGTAAGTTCAGGGAATGGGCGTCAGCCAGGATTCTGGCTGCCATGTCTGTCGTACACACGCAGAAGATAAGAAGATACTGAATCTTAAGAAAGAGCTGAAGAAGAAAGGCATGCTGTTGAACAATGGCTTCACTGATTATGCTTCTCTTGGTATAGAAGCCTGCATCCCGCGAATCCTTCAGCGCTACTCTTGTGAGAAAATCCTGCGCTTGGTCGAGTCTTCCCGTGTACGCGGCTCGGAGGCCCATGGCTCCGAGGCTTCTGCAAGCATGTGGCCTGCAGCTACTACAACTACTTCAGTTGCAAACCTTGGATGATGCCGAGACGCAGAATTATCACCTGGATATGCATGGTCATGGCCCTTAAAGAGTTCAACCGAAAGCTTGAGAAGCCTAAACTTTACACACAAAAGGCTGAAGTAACAAAAAAGAAACACATAGCCCTAAAACCGAGCCTTGACCGGCGCAACCCTGAGCAGCTCAGGCCATGGGCCGGTAGGCTGGCGGCCACCCACTTGTCGGCAAACTTCACCTGCAAAAGCATGAACATGCTACGGCATGTAGCGAGAACATGAGAAGAACATCTGCCTACTGTTCATGTGTCTTGAAAATGGGCATGTCAACGTAGGTGCAATCACGTGCACAACGCTACATGTGCAACTCATTGGGCGCATGGTATTTATAGTTCTCAATTCTGACTGTAGAGAACTAGTTTGCAGGTCTCGGAACCACACTTCTCGTTTTGTCGGCACGGCTTGAACACAAATAAAGCTGTGTCGACCAGGTCTGAATCCAGTCGCCAGGTGAAGTTGAGCTAGTGCTAGCTACATGTGCGGCTGGGTTCAGGATGTTTCAGGCTCGCTCTGAGAACAATGCCTTCTTTTTTCCCTACGTTTCCAAAGCACAGCCTTCTAATATCGAGCGCGAGTGCGGCTGGACCGGGAAGGATACACGAGCAGTTTTTTGGTTTGCCTGGCTCGCTTGTCGAAAGCTCCATAAGATACTTTGATTGCCACTCTTGCTAGCCTTGTGGCAGGCCTACTTCGCAACCAATGATGCTACACGACCATGATGTTTTTTCATAACATGCCATGGTACCTTCTGATTACTCTTCTTTCTGCTGTTGTTGAAACGGCAAACCCAGAATGAGAAACACTGTTGTGGTCGAAGTTATCTGTAAGAACAGAACGCACGGTGCCATACACCGCTTCTGCAATCTTGGTGGAAAGAGTCTGAGAGCCCCGACCAAAGTGAGGCGCTCAACGAGCTCAGAGCGCTGGGCTTCATCACCTCAGACATTGCTTCTTGGCATCGATCAGAACAGGCTTATGGTTTGGGGTTTAGCTCCACTTACGGCAGGGTTGCACGTGGCTAATACTTTTAGAAAATGTGAAGGCCACAAGAAACATATTCGTGATAGATGTTGTACTGCAACTCCACGGGCCATTTGTTTCCTCCAAAACTCCAAGCCTTGATCGGGGCCCTGTGGCTTCTTGTTTCCGGGTGCAGAGCTCCGGGGCTCCTTAGCGGGAGAAGCTGACCCTAAACCCTGAACCCTAAACCCTAAACCCTAAACCCTGCATGGGCCTTGAAGTCTGGAAGGCTCCGACAACATCTTCGAAACTCCTTTTGGTGAGCCACGCTTCACACCTCGCCACTCTGCCAGGGGCCTGTATGTACAACTCAAGACATATCAAGAAATAACACAGCAGCCCTTTTCAGGCCGTGTTTCGAAGCCTTTACTATGTACAGCGACGGCCGCTGGCTGAAGTCTCTATCGACCCACACGGGATAAGAACAAGCATTGCATAATTTTGCCAACAAAAACAGCGGCGATGCACAGGCCTTGGCAAATAGAGATCCATAGACCTATAGGCCACAAAGTAACTTCAAGATGGGATAAAGCTGCGACGACTCGACCCTGTGATGGCGCGCAGTCCTGGCAGCATCATCGATCATTCGGGCAAAAAGCCTACCAGCCCGCACCTGGCCGTGTTTCTGGATAAGGGTCGGCACACCCTAACTTCTTAAAGCAAGACCGTAAACCTGAGTACCTAAACCCACACAACCCTAGATCTTGATTACAGCCTGACACAACAGACCCTCCATAACCTGTAAACACCAGGCCCTAGACCCAAATCCTTCACAGTCCCGTAGACTCGAACTGCTCCGAAAGCTACAGGCCCTAAAGATTAGGTTATAGATCTCTCAAGAGACTTACAACTTTACGTAGTCCTGAAGATCCCTGAAGCTTTAACCTAATCACGAATGCCGAAAGACCGAAACCTTGAAGGCAGCACGTCACTTTCTGACAGCCGTATTACACGCAAATCTGGCAGAGCCGTGCTAGGCAGGATGCGAAACCTTTTGCTGCAGGCTTGCACGCAAGAACGCCTGGTAGGTAGCCACTCTTCCGGCAGTTAACACTGTGCGCGTGACATCCTCAACCCAAGACCGCAACGAAGAGAAACAACAGCTTGAGAGCCTAAAGCCTCAACACATTGCTTAACCTTGAAGCCTCAACGTTCATAAATTCCCTAAACCCTAAACCGTTCCAGTCCTATGCAATGGCTTCCAACGGGTCGCCCTGGAGGAAGATTTGCTTGGACTCGAGGGCCTGCTCGTCTCGAGGTTTCTGGGAAAGCTTTGAAAGGTTTCCCGAATGGTTTTGGGTGGTTAAGGCCTACAGGGCTTCATTAGGAGTTGGGGATGTAGGATTCGAAAGCTATTTGCAGATGAAGGCGTTCTAGCTTTTTCGTGCTGAAAAAGGCCCGTTTCTCTCCTTGCGAGTCGAAAGTGCTCTTAATGCTCTTAGCCTTACGGATGTTGGGCGTTTAGGGACGCTGGAGGCCTAGGACTTGAGATGTACTCTAGGATTTCATCATATTTCATCGCGGATGGGCCGTGCAGCTTCTTTTGTCAGTTGCGGGGCGTGGCCCGTAGCTTGATCTTGCACCGCAAGCTCCGCAACCTCGTGGCTTTTTCAGGCATGCACTCAAAGAAAGATTTTAAGATTTTGAAATGCGTTGTCTGGGGTTGGACTCGTTCGCGTGGTTTTTGGTTTCGGGACCCGTGTCAAAATGGTCTTGGGGCTGGGATAAAACCTTGCGAGACTAAACCTTGTTGAAGTCTCCTCCACGAGCCCAGAAAGCCATGAAACAACATGTGAAAACCTGTCGTCTTCCCCCTTGAGTCTTTGCCCAAAATGGGCACGTGAGTTGTGTCACTACACGGTCTGCGATTCTGCTGTCTTTCGCCATGACTGTGCAACAGCAGCTTGCTGTATCCTGTGCGCACTTGCGCACCCGTGGCCCGTGACTCTCTTGGCTTACAGCTCAAAAAGTGTTGCGCAAAGCCCGGGGTATGAGTGCTTAGCCCATCCCATTCAGTGGTTCCACATGGGCCGACGTCTTCCTTCTCTGCGCAGCTTTGCTCTGTTCGTGGGAGCAGATTCGACTGGCTGTTGAATGTTCAGAAAACTTGTGAAAGACGCTACCAACTCGGTGTGCTTCATGACTTTCGTCAGTTGGTCAGCAACCATAACATCCGTATCAATCCACCACACTTAGTTCGTAGGCTAGCTGCGAATTCGAAGGTCGTCCAAAATATGGATCGCCGTATTGTTCCCTCCTGGCTCTCCTTAACAATTCTCGCAAGGGCACGATCTCTATGTTCGGGCTCACCCCTTCCGGGGCTCTTTTACAGCGTCTTGCTAATGGCGTCACGCGTCCAATCAGGTGATGAAACTTTCTGTATTTTATCAATGCCATGATAAGGTTCAGATGTCACGGTTCCGAGGATGCCCAAGTGCAGATCCTTAGGAATTGCACGCTTTTCAACACAGTAGCTATCAGTAGCTCTTCTTGGTCCATTAGGGTGACTCTGCCAATATCGACCTCATAGACCACGGTGCAAGCACGAAGTGCCGGGCTTTGGGATCTCAGGGTCGAGACGGTCATCTGGTGGAGCCTTTGGAAGGTCTGGATCATCTCGTCAAGAGAAGACTCTTGGTGCCCACTTGTCACTGGAGTGGTCAACCCCTCACGCGATCAAGCGAAGTGGGACTTGCCCATTTGTCTCATACGAAGCGATACTGCCGCCAACGGTCGCTTTGCCCCAGATTTATGGGAATCACCTCTCGAGCGCCACCCATTCCCGACTGCAGGGGCCGACAGTCAAGGGTGCGTCACGCATCCCAAGCTTTTTGGAACGCTGTTTTCACGAAAGCATGCGGTACGGAATCTTTAGGACTTTATGACTTTGGATGACTTTGGCACAACCACTCATGGCACAGGGGTGCTGTCAGCCGAAACAGCGGAGGAGCGCTGGCTCGGAGTTCCTGGAACTGCTTGAGCTAGAACTCTATTACTGCAACTGCTAAAGCGACAGCGCCTGGAGTGGTTTGAACTAAGCCGTCTGTCGTTCCGGCTACGGCATCTGCACCGAAAGTTCTTCCTTGGAGGACTGCGAATCCGAAAACCTTGTCCCACGCTTCAGAAGAAGGTTCAAGTATGCTCAAGGACTCTTGGATTTCAAGTCATTAATGATCTTCGACAAGATAAGCTCCTCATGATCATCCTCGAAGTCTCCTGGGCTAGTGTAATTTAATAAGAAACGTCCGCAGCAGCTTGTCTCATAGGGATCGAAGACTTCGAACAGCTGGACTGGCCAGTCGGCTTTCCACGGCACCGCTGCGCGCTCCTGCCCAGCATCCTTTCTTGCCAAACGGTTTAAAATTTCCACGCGGCCCTTGGCCTCTTTTTTGTTCCTACTTGTCTTACTTGTCATTGAAATCATAATCCGGTGAATAATGCATCGCATCCATCACGTCCAGCCCTATGCGTTTAATTATGCTTCTTGGTTGACATCTTCAGTCTTCCATGAGGATCCTGAAAAAAGCCGCCTTCGCCTCCTGAAGTTCGAAGGGCTCTTCCGGGTCAGTCAGTCAAGCTGTGCAGGGCTGGCAAAGGGGACCTTTCTTTGCCTTGCAGTGTTGGGAGCTCCTGAGCTGACCATGCTGTGTGAATAAAGCCTTTGCCTTGCATCGAAAGAAGGCTTGCCGTCAACAGCAGTTTCTTCCTATAAACACGACCACTCCCTATCTCTTGGCTGGCGAGAAATTTGTCCGTCTGCGCGGGAGCCTGCTCTGTTAAGATCCTTGGCCTCTTGGAATTGCAAAGGAAAGAGTTGTTTCCTGACGGCGTCAATATGTCCTTGATTGCGTCTTGGGCTCGGAGTACTTTGTGTCCCAGATCCTGGGCCATACACGCATCGCCTGGAGTGATTCTATAGAGCCTTGCACCAACATCTCTTCGGCCTTTGTTGCATGGTATTGCTCCGTCGCACGGAACTCCCATTCATGGTAGCGCTGTGCGGAGCCACTGTCAATGAGGAATCTGGCTTTCGTTTGCTCGGGTTCTTGATGAGATCTGTGGTTGAATCTAAAACCTCGCTAGCGGCCATGTTGCAACCAGGGCGAGCTACGCAACAGAGGAGAGCGGCGGTGCTCCGGTGTCACCCACAGTTAGTGCAACTGAGCTCCTAGCACAGGACTATACAACAGCAAATCAAAGCGACTGCCAGCCTTCGTTCGCACTAGGAACTGAGCACACTCTCACAAAACCCATCGCCGTCTACCCTAAAGGCTGACGTGAAAACTTCGGAGCCTCCACGAGGTCCACCACCTCCTCCTTGCTGTGGACTTGAGTTCTACTTTGAGTAGCCAGGCACAGGCAGAGATGTGGAAACGAGTTCTAGCTGCACGGGTTCAACATCAATCAAGTCAGATAGTGTCACAACATGTCACAATCCAGTCTAAGTTATGTCAATGCTAACGCGATGTCGCATGCCAAGAGCAACTTTCCCTGACCGGACGAGCTCCGAGACATCTTTGTCCAAGCATCTCGAGACGTCGTTGGTCACATTTGTTCACAGCGCCCCAAGACAAAAACACTAAGCAAAGCAAACCAAGAACCTGCCGGGCATGCCTAGTCGAGGTCTTATGGTGCTTAATCGCTGGTTGTTGGCCGCCGTACCCGACTCTTGCACGGGGCGACGGGTCATTCTGAACCGTTACAGGCTTCCTCCCTAAAAGCGGAAGGCTCGGTTTTTCACTCAAACTGCTGCAATCATGCTCGATGGGCCAGGTCGGTGAAGCTTGGATCTACAAGAAAAGCGGATCTCAGGGATGTAAGCAACCTTAATAGTTAGAATAGGGGGTTGGGGTTTCCTTATTATAATTCTAGTATAATATTAATGCAAGTTACGCTCTTCTTTTGAGCTTTGCAGTCCTCGTCTGGTGTGGGCTCTGCGCCACCGGCTCGTGCCTGCGGTGTCTGAAGGATTTCAAGGCTGCAGCAGCTTTCAGGATTCCAGGGGACTTCTTCTAGAGGTCATGCCGGACACCCGGCGTTCTGTAGATGTAGCAGATGAACACGGTCCGAGCATGGTGAAGGTCGCAAGATGTCGCAAGCAAAGGGGTGTTGCGTTTTCGTGCTTACATTCTGACCTCTAACAGCTCTCCATGCAGCACAGGGTAGTTTCAGCTCCTGCTGCTTGCCGTGCAGTTTGCCAAGACATCAGGATTGCCCGAAACATAGCGGGGCGTTTCGCACCAACTCCCCTAAGATTCAATACAGAAACCGATCAGCTTCACGAAGAAACTAGAAGAGATAGATAGACAGATCGCAGTCCTGTGCGGCATTTCCGGATCCTGGCTCAAGAAACCCCGAGGCACCTCACAGCCTGCCAAGTGCAGGAGCCAAAGTACCTCAAGCATTTCGCAAGAGCTATACATCTGAGGTCACGGCTTTGGTCCAAGTGAACCAGGGACTCCCCCCCGTTTCGCAAATATATACCGATAAGTTCGCATTGTTCCATATCCTGGTGGTAGAGGCTTGAATATGTGGGTTTGGAGCTTCCCCCCTGGCACCCAGCAACCACAGCTGACAAGAAACGATCATCTGCCTTCGTTCGATGTCTTGCTTCTGGCAACGGTCTGACTTCCAGGCTCGAGGCTAAACCCCACGGGACGAGTCTTCTCTGCCTGAAATACTGCATTCAAAAGCATGAATAATCCACCGCTCTCGGACCCTCAGCTTCGTGTGCCCCGCCTAAAGAACCAACAACACCAAACAAAACGTGTGAACCATGCCTAAACCCAATAACCGCAAACCCCAAAAAACTATAAGCATCAAGCATCACGAAATTCCTGAACCCTCACTGCCCTTATAGAACCCTACACGCCTGAAACCCTCAAGCCCATCGTAAAGCCCTGAAGCCCGTGATCTGCCTTGCACAACGGCGCATGGCTGACTGCACGCACGGTGCAGCGCCAAAGCTCCTCGGCAACACCTGCCACTGAGCTGTTCTCAAGTATGAAACTTATACTTGCAATAAAAACATGATCAGGTCTGTTAAAGTGATGACCATGATGATAGCTATGACGATGTAATGATAATATCTAGTAAATATTACAAAAAAACAGACACACACACACGGCCGTGGAGGAGGACGATGCGCATCCTAAATATGCATCGCACTTTACCGTGAAGTCCGCGAGAACTATAGAAAGACAGCTCAACAAAAGTTCGCCTTACCTGTTTGGGGAACAAGCAATGGTAATGATGATCACGACGGGGTAGAATTCTGGAATGTTTTGGACCGTGGCCAATCACTTCTCCCCTTGCAACGCAATCTGATGGAGACAATTCTGGGTCGTTGTCTCAATGTTAATGGCTGAACCGTGAACCAACTATGATTCCTTGGGCCCTAAACCCTAAACCCTCCAAGCCCGCGAATATTGTTTTGTCGGAGGGGGGGGCTCGTGTTCCCGCCACAGTGCAGTCTGTGTCTGTTGCGCATTTGGCCTCGCTGAGTTAACGTGCTCTTTCACGGCTTGGGATCTATACGACGGCATTGTTCTCACGATTCACTACTACGTATAAAATGACTATGATTAGCATGTTGTAAAAATGAACCTCATGGGGGAATACGGCGCCCTTCGAAAAGGACGTTGACATGGATTCTATCGCGCCTGCAGCAGGAAACAGCCTTCGTCTCGGATTTGTTGAAGGCAATAGTGATTTTGCGTTTAGGAGTTGGAAACGCTTGAAACTCGAGTTTTGGACACGCTAGTTGCGCTTACGGCCTGGTAGGGCTGTTAGGCGGGAAGTAGTAGATTCAAAGTAGCACTGGCGAACATACCTAAAGTACCACGCCTGTCACACGAAACAGGGTTCAACACAGGATTGAGAATCTGCTGCAGCAGCATGACATGATCTGAAATGATAGGAGATGACCAGGCATGGTATGACATGGTATGATATGATATGACCTATCATGGCATGAAAGGACATGTGGTGATGTGATTTGGCATGTCACACGACGGGTTGCTTCAGCAGATTCACGATCCTATGTTAAGCGCTGTGTCGTGTGACAAGCGTGGTAGTTTCGGCATGTTCGCCAGTGTGTTCGCTAGTGCTACTTTCAATCTACTACTTCCCGCCTAAGAGCTTCATAGTGTATCTTCAAACACAGAACGTCATCACCCCCTCCCCTCACCCTCCCCACCCCAAGAAGCAGAAAGCAGGCGCAACTATCTCCAAACTTGGTGCACTTGCAACATCTTTTGACTTTCCCGACCTACTACTACCGATGCTAAAGAGTTTTTGGGGCTTCCCTTTCTGACTCAACAAGTGTAGTCTCCGGAGGTGCCGCGAATAGCCTGACACCTCACTTCTCACCCAGCTCGCTACCTAATCAAGCTAAACTCCAGGCGCTTGGGAGCTGAATTGCGCAGTTTCACTGCTGGGGGTGCTGAAACTTAAGCCAAGTCTTGGCTTTGCAGCTAAGCAAAGCCGGCACTGTCACCTACCGCAAACTCATACAATGACGTTAACAATTACCATGCGCTGACATGGTAAGAGCTTGGGACGAGGGTGGCGCAACATGGCATAACCCCACTAGAGGCCTCCGTCGAAAGAGGTCCCCTGCAGCTTGGCTAACAGGCTGGTGGCATAGAGCCCCCAAAGCGCACCGCTGCCCACCTCGGGAGCTGGAGCTTACGGCTTATGGGTTTGGGCAGGTACCTTCAGGCTGCAGGCCAACGCATGGTTCGAACAGCTTCACAAGATGAAGCTCGTTTGCTCCCTTTCTAAGATGTAACAGCATGGGTCGTTGTGGGCAAGCCTGGAGAACCTCCGGACAGTCCAAACCATGACTCGCAATGTACAAGCTACCCGCATTTCCAGCTGTTCCCATGGATCAAATAATGTCATAGACAACGGCCCCCGCCCCTCAACCAAAACAAATACCGCAAGTAAACTCGAACCTCTCGACACCACGTGGCCGGAGAAACTGCGGCCGTCGCAGCAGCTTTTTCACAAAGGGACGCTGGGCGCTGGCCACCGGGAGCCACCAGGAGCTCGGCCTCACAGGGCAGGCAATTCCAAACAGCTCTGCTTCTAGCATCATTCTGCTTCTTACTGTTATGTTAGGAGTATTGGTCTTACAAGTAATTAGCCTTACTGACACTTCGAAGCGTAGCTTTGGAACCCAGGATCAAATCCTGCATCAGCTCTGAATCGGCAACCATTATGACTACACTTGCCGCCAAAGGGTTGGGATTGCCGCGTCGCACACTGTCGATACTCTACCGCCACCAGGATTTCGGTAGCAAATTTCCACTATCATGCTTACCTGGGGACGTTGAGGGGAGATCCGGATGACCTGTTCCAGCTCGCGAAACATCTCAGCTACACTTTGCTGGCTCACTCCGAAACTTCTCAAGCCCTTGAAGCATACTAAACCTTGTTGACTACACCCTACAAGTCCTAAAGCTCTAAAGCCCTACACCGTCCCTGACATTTTGAGTGTTTCTAGTGCCGGGCCTCCAGGCCGATCCGGAAAGAATCGAACCTTTGGGAGAGGGGGTGCAACAGAAATCTTACAAGGACCTTGTCTAGGGGTTGTTCTCACATTCAGGATCCTCCCGTCGGGGTCTTACAGTTACAATGGGATTTCCGTATTTGCTGAAACGTTCAAGACAGGAGTTGTGAGGAAGTTTGAGAAATCGACTTAGCGGCCCTGTTTAGGCTCCAGAACCGGGTTGTCATCGCAGAGTCCGGCAAGTGCAGCAACCCTTGCACCCTAGACCAATGCACCGAGCTTTTTCGATGAAAAGGCTTTGGAAGTTCTGTGCCAGGGATCTGTCAAACTGTAGGCCTACTTCCCTCAACCCTAATAAAACCCCAAAGCCCATGCTCGTTGTGAATCCTGAGTGAATCCTGAAACTACTTGCTCCTCTTCAACCCGAAACTTCGACCTCAAGATTTCCACAAGTTCCCTGGCATCCGTCGGTTGCGCAAGAACGCCACCCCTCTCTCCTAAACGGCTTAAGAGCACTTGTGAAGCTGCAGGAGCTGGAATAGCGCAGGTCTCACTGCGACTTACCACTCGGGGGACATGATGTAGGGGCCTGAATACTTAGAATAGGGTCCTGGGCTCCTTTATAGTACAGTTACAGTTCTATTTGTTTTTATAAAGGAACCCTCAGGAATTATATTTGCAATTAGTCAGGCTTCTATATTGCTGTGCTCAAAAACGTATGCCGTTGATGACTACTGTGCGGTCCTCCGACATGGGGGCCGCCAAACATGCGTCGCAGCTTCGCATGCAGAATCGGGGTTGCTGTCGCAGCAGGCTCCACTATCCGATGCAGTCCCCAAAACAGTATTTTGTACACGTATACATGCTATGAACAGGGCAACGATGCGAAAGCAATGACACGGGCAGTTCAGAACTTTGGTCGCACCATATCTGGATCATACGGTCTGCATGCGAAGCTCATGCAACTTTCATAGAAGCTGCAAGTCTCAGTCGTGGTCGTGGGTGTCGTTGTCGTCATGGCTGTGGTTGTGGCTGTCGTTGTGATCGTGATCGTGATCGTGGTCACCGTCGCCATCGTGGTCATGATCGTGGTCATGATCGTGGTCACCGTCGTGGTCATGGCCGTGGTCGTCATCTGTGTCCTCAGTGGTGGCGACTTCTTCTTCACACCCCTGGAGATGGCCGGCCAGAATGGCCGCAAGTGCTGCCAGGATCAACGCACGCCAGGACTTCATCTTCACGACTGAGGAGCTACGGCCAAGTAAGAAGATGAACAGCACGACACCGCGCTGACAATCAAAAGCTTGGGCCAAACGGTTGAGGTTTCACAGCTGGTGTTTTGAGTGGGGTAATTAGAACTCCCCAATAGAAGCGTTTACTGTTCGGGGCGGTTCAATGAAACGAAACAGGCAATGCAAAGCACCCAGCTTTACAAGGAGCGGCCTTCATTGGACGGTGGGGTCCAGGCTCTCGTGGGCATGACGTTGGGCATGCTCAAGGTTAGAAGTTTAGGTTCAGGCTGCAGAGGCCGCAGCACACTCTTGTCCTAGCTGTAGCACAGTGGTACCGACCTGGTTCTAACTGCCACTAGTGGTCCCGCGCACTTGGCCGCCATCGTGGAACACCCTGAAGCAAGAAAGCTTGCAAACTTGACATTGGGCGGGGATCCCAGAACGGAAAACCGGCACCGAGAATAAGACTCAGAGTACCTGCGACAATCTCACGGATACATCGTGCAACAATCTCCCTGGAGCTCTGTCGCGTCCAAAGCTATAATGCTTCCAACCAGCCCTGATGCAACTCTCTGAACTGCCCGTCACTCTCATGCATCAAGAACGTGCTCAAGTTCACTTTCGCATACCTCGTCCCAAGTGAGCCCGTGCTTGCACGTTTTCATTAGATTTTTGTTAACATATGTTGGCGGGCGACCAACGGCCAGCGCCGGCGCCCAAAGGCATGGGTCGGTGCAGGCACAGGGCTTCGTCCAGCTCCTCTGCTTTGGTTCTTGCACATCATCTTCGGGCACGAAACCACGTGCGACAACCCGCCATCTCGCACCCGACACTGAGCTCTTAGCGCCAGCAAGATCAGCACGCCTACGGCACGCCAAACACATCCGATCGCTTCCCTCGACCCTAAACGCGGCTCCCGCCGCAGTGCGGACACACGCCCCTGGCGGAGGCGAGTAGTGCAAAGGACGCCTTGGTCAGAAGACAATCTTTGAGGTTGGCGCACTTCTAGCCATGAACGTATGATTACCCGACATTCACGAACACCCCTCGAAAGGCCTAAGAGCCTTGGTTGTATACAGTGCAGCTCGGTCACGCAGCGCAAACAGATTGCCGGGATCCAAGCGAAGGCAAATCCGCACAGCCTCCTAGTGTTGCGATTCGCAGTTGTTAGAGGGTGCAAAGCTTCCTAAGACCATACAAGACTTGCGATTGACTCCTTATCAAACAACCGCTGGCGGGGCCACGTAGGTTTTTGTGTTGGTGCACTTTCTGCGGGTGCCATTGTTGCAAAATCGTCGATCGTGCAATCGCCCGAACCCCTATAAAGAAGACCTTGTCGCTGCAAAACTTGTTTCACGGTAATGACTCGTACTTACCAGGGCAGATACACTCTGCAACCAAGTTCTGGACAAAGTAAAACCGCAAGGGCACACGGACGATAATCGGCTGCAGTGGGGACTTGTTACTACACCTGTGAAAGCAAGCACAGCATCATATGCTACAGTCTTGGATCATCGTTCCTCAGCCTGGAAAGACTTCAACAGACTTCAAAGGGGTGTCGAGACTGCGTTGTTTTGGCCCCGTTTCTGATTTAAACTGTAGTGCAGCAGCTGCAGTTTCTGCGCTGCTGTTGGTAGTGCCACTGCTTGTGTGAACCTGTTTGGAAGATGAAACATACCTTTGATGGAAGGCTGCTCTCGACTCTCACACTCGCACGAGGCAGGCAAAGCTCCAATCCAAGCACCCGTCCCTAACATGAGACACCGCCAGAACCAATGGAAAGGCTTCACCGGTTCAGCATTCCACATTTGGCAAGCAGAACCAGAAAATCAATCATGATCTACAGCTGGAGACAAGAGGCCAGCAGCAGTCTTGGCGGGGTGGTCGCCTGGACAACATTCGCGCAAAGCAAGCCAGCGAAAACTGACCCGACAGAAAGCCGACCGCTGTGGCCTGACGACGGAGTAGCGCCAGCACCCCTTCTCCGACCAGAGTCCAGCCACATGCCGCCTAGCCAAGGCCAGGGGCTCCAAGCCATGGTTCAGCCCGTAACAAAGCTCAAAGCAGCACAATAGCAACTGCAGGGGCGAGGTTCACAGGTGGGCAAGCCGATCTAGCTCTTTAACCGGGCGTTCTCGCGCAACAAGAGCACAAACCTAATGAAAATAAGCGGCATGCAGCCCCCTCACGCAGCTCGAGCTACTCGCTACATACACAAAGTTGAATACTCAGACAAACTCTTCGACAACAGCACAACCCACAAGGCAGAGGTTTAATCTCACGACTCGACTTGAGTTCATGCACAATCTCTGGGCAGGCCCATCAGCACTGTACATAGTCACTGTGGCTCTGGCTTTGCAAAAACACCGAAGGGTGCGTCTACTCCTTTTCCGCTTCTCGCAACAAATATAATTTCTGACACCATGTGTTTGCAAGCTGCCTTCTTGAAGGCAGCCACAAATCCTAAACACGGTTTCGCCGCTTCAACACGCCAATGAAAACCTCTGCGCCGCACAAGCACGCACTTTTGTAACAAGTCGACGCCCCACGGTTTCCAGACATTGCTATGTATGTCTTGCCGTCTTGCCAACAGCTGCCACACGCTTGTGAACACTATGATATGCTAGAATATATAGTATATATTTTATATAGACTGTTCTACTATCGACAGTACATACACTGGACGACTACAAAAACTCAATGTAATATAATAGATTACATTATAGTTATATATAATCGCCAGGTCTGCCATGGCCACACAAGCGAGGGGCCGCTCTCTGTGGGTTTTGGTCCCAGCCTTTCCAGATCTGACAAAGGCACCGCACTTTGTAGGGATCTCTTTTAACAAGAAAGACGACTCAGGGAGGCTTTTGGTACACTTCTCGATTTGTGCGAGCAGGGAGGGTTTAGGGTTAGGGCGATTTCGGCTCTCACACTCGGACAATCCAGGCGAGGCATACGGTACGAGGTCTGCAAAGTGAAACTCACACACATGCTTCAAAACAGACATCGAGGACCCTACCATAGAACGTCTAAGTCAACACTTTACGCACATGTGTCCACCAAACTCCGCTCGTCTCTGTAACTAGTTAGCGGACTTCGACGGGATGTCATACAGGAGGAAACAATGTTTGTGGCTCAGGTAGAGTAGTTGAGGCAATAATGGGTCAAACATCAAAAGGCCAGGGAGGACCTCAGGTATTTCTGTTTCCTCCTTTAGCCTAACTTGAGCGAACGTGAAACTCACTGAGTAAGATACACATGCGAACGACCGCCACGAATTAACTCACTTGCAAGCTTGCAAATGAATTGCGCCTTCCACATGTTGTCAACTGTGTTTCTTTGTTCCATGACCAACAGGGCCCAACTTTCAATCGCCAGCCTAGGCAGATGGTACTGTAAACCATAATCATATGCATCCGTCGATCTCAGACGCAAAGCCACCAGCAGTCAGCGATTGGTAGTCGGACCCAGAGTACTCTGTTGACAGTCTTGCTTGAGCTTTTCGAATATCGATGTATTTTCTGTTCATGCAGCTTCAAATTCTTGGATTCCCCTTGCATAGATCTTGCACTCAGCGGGTGGCTTGATTCGCTGTTGGATGGTCCTGACTGAGTTTCCCAGTGTCGTCCACATCTGAAGCGCTGGCATCATCACGCATTCCATCCCGCATTCCCTTTGCCCGTCTTTCGCCCTGATTCAAAGGAGAGCTGTGTCTGCGCCGGCTGCCCGGGACCTAAAGGCTGCGTAGCGAAAAATTCGCATTCGTAGCTGAAAAAGAAATCAAATCCAACAGCTTCCAAACAATCCCTGACGCAGCTCCGGGCATTTGCTGCTCCCATGGCTGTGAAGGCCACCAGAACAACCCTTCTATGCTCCCAAGGTTCAGTGCAATGCAAAAGCGTCTTCCCATTGAATCTCAAAGGCCTAAAAGGTGACAACTCACAACGAACCCCGCGAATCTGGGCCCCATGGTAGTCTTTGATGATGTCACCCTCAGGAGCCTTATTCCAAATTTCCCCTCCTTCAAACTGACTAAGGCTCAACACAACTTGCGGATAATGTGAATTCCGAATATCCCTGAGCCCTTTTCCTGCTGAGTCCCGAATGATTAGGGCGATTTCGACTCACACACTCGCACAAAGGCAGCGAGCTTGCTACGTGAACATGCTGGACACAGCGAGCAGAGAGCAGTACAACCATTAGGGCGATTTAGGGTTTAGGGAGGAGCCCCATGCACTCTCTGCACCGACACGACAGACACATGTGTAACGGCGGATTGAGCACACACGTCGGGGCTCCAGGTCCTACCGGGTAAGCAGGACAGAACCCCCCCACTATCCCGAAACAAACCGCTGCAGTGGATAATCGGGGGTGCTCGAGTCCACCTTCACATGTGCCGTGCACTGCATCGTTTGCGAAAACCAAGGAAACACGCATCACAACAGTCCCAGCATCGCTGCCTCGTGAGCTTCACGACTGGCCACAGTGGGCCGCGAAGGGCCTGCTTCAAGCAAGGACGTGGTAGCTCGGTCAGCAAGGAAGGGCACCGACTGGAAACCCTGCTGCGCCTGCTTCCATGCTGAGGGCACACAAGCGGTCGTGGCTCGAACCATCTGCAGCCCAAGGAACCTTCAGTGACATCAAGGCCGTATGGTTTGGCATTTTCCGACATGGGAGATATAAACACAACAGGTAAAGGGTCGTTACACCTTACTCCGCCAGAAAAATATGCCATTTACAGCAGTCCTGGAGATCTGCATCGTGTAGCTGCTACGAGATCCAAGATGAGTTTGGCTGAGTGCGGGAACCCCTGCTTGAATAGCTGGGGAGTCGTGAATAACACCTCATTTTGGGTGAGTGCCTCTGATTCCACATCTGCAAGCAAGACCAGGGGGGAGAGATCGAGCCGCTTCGTGCTGCATCTTACCCAGCACCGAGCAACAACCCATAGTCCATGCTCCTGTTAGTGTCTGCAAGACTACATGGCAGGGTAGCGGCCCTCCGTTTGACCTCGGGACCATCTTTATCCTGACAAGCTCTGAAAAACCAGCCTCGGCTTTCTTCCACAAAGCTTCAGAGCCCCCTAAGCCATAAACTTTACCTACAACCTTACGGTCCTATAACTATCGCCCAGCAACTTCCGATTCCCTAAACCCAGCTCACGTCGGGCATTGTTGCGATGCACATAAGATTTCCCACGGTCTTGAGGCCCCCCACTACGATGTAGATTTTTCTGACAGGTGCAGCATTTCAGAAATTGCCAGAAACTTCAAAGTGGTTTTCGCAAGGGCTTCACTGTTACCACCCTGGCTATCCTGGCTCTTGGGTGCACAAAGCGGGAGTTTGTCTGCATGGTCGATCTCTCTGGCATGCACAGGACTTCATGAACATTCGACGCGCTTGAGCATCTTGAGCATGTGGCAGCTGAAATGCTTGATGTTCCCAACATTGCGCACTACAAATTCAAATAATGTCCAGAAAATCGCTCACGGCTCTATGGCCTGGTACTCGAATGGGGTCTGAGTGGAAGTCATCATGGTTGGCACACGGATGCTTCGGTACTTGGTTGGGGCCTGAATGGACGTCACCATGATTGCCACATGGATGCTTCGGTATTCGGATGAGTTTCTGAGTGGATATTATCAGTGTTGGCCCATGGATGCTCTGGTACTGAGACGGTGTACTCGGATGGGGTCTGAGTGGACGGGTGCTCTGGTACCCTGATCTGCGAGGATGCTATCATGGCCCCATGTATGCTTCGGTACTCGGATGAGGTCTGAGTGAAGGTTATCATGGTTGATCCATGGATGCGGTCTGAGTGGATATTATCGTGGTTCACCATGGCTTGCCCATAGATGCGCTGTGGAACGGATGCGAGGGCTAGAAACCCTAACTACAACCTGCAAGCACCGTGCCTCGTTCAGCAGGCAATCCAAAGCCTTCCTTGTGGAAGCAGCTGCCAACAAAGAGCACCTGATGGAACGTAGCGGCCTGTTGAATATTAACAAGAAGAGCAAGAAACCTTCCGGGCGCCAAAGGTTTGCGGATTTGCGGTTGGAGGGTTAAGATGCTCAGGTCAATCCCTTCTGCTTGCGGGGCCTTGCAAAACGGAGGGGCCTCAGAAGCTTAAGCACCCTCGGCATGTTGGTCAAGCTGTGCCCTGGGACTTCTAACTCCATGGAACGCTCCGTCGGCAACCAGATTTCTGAGACTCATGGGGCACATGCCCCAACAAGTTGCAATTGTGCTGTCAGGAGACAGTGCCAGCACCACGGACTGGTACGATGAGACCAACAATCCTCTTGCGAAACAGCTAGCTGGAATTGGTGCCCAGACCTAACTTCGTCGAGGACGATAGGGGTTTCTGGAGAGAGAGCTTCATCCTGCTTGACTGGCACCTTCCTGCATATTTACAGGCTGACGCTAAGCTCACTGACTGCTTTGGCTCACAGAAAATCTTGCTGGCCGTCGTCCGGCTCACAGCAAACCCTACAGCGCAATGATCGTACTTGCAGCCTGCAGAAGACCAGCACGGATACTTCTGGCGGACGCATTCTGACCTCAAATTCTGATCGTTTCGGCTGCAGCGATGCAGTCAAACCTAGACCTAGCACAAGTTGGGCTTGAACCCCGCAAGCCTGATTTTTGCGGCCCATGCACTGAATAAAACGGAAGGAAATTGCGATCGCCCGCGATCGCCTCTCCAAGCCTAACAAAGCTCTCCTGTCCAAGCAACAAAGAACTGGGCGAAATCCAGCAGAAACTAGACAGCCTTCCGTGATCCAACAACCCTGACCCGAACATCCCCTTCATCCTACCGTGCTTCTGCACGTGGTATGCTGGCCTCCGGCGCCACCGCCATCGCCCTTTCCGCTCCGCGGAAGCAGCTGCTGCAATCGACCGATACTCTGCAAACGGCGCATGCCTCAAAGGGGTGAGGCCGAATTTCCTCTCTCTGGCGTATTGTTGGGATCGCTGCCTTCAACGCAACGAGTCTCCATTGTGGGCTACAGCAGCGACAATGGTTAGGGCTGGGCTCTTTCGGGTGTATGACCGAGTTAAGGAATGATCTTAACCTTCCTGGCAGTTTAGACTGGCTTCATGCTGTACCCGGCATTCCTAGTGGCAGAAGACTCGGCCTCCCTCTCGCGCGTCTAGAGGTGCATCTGAGAGCACCTGCGCTGGAGACGTTATGTTGTTTTGTTTAGAAGGATTTTTCCCCACAGCTTAAACAACAGGGTTTCGGGGTTTTGGGGTTGAGTTCCAGGGGCAGTGGTTTCGACTCACACACTCGCGCAAAGCAGGCATGGAAAAGAAGGTCCGAGATTGCTACATGAACATCGTACTTGGCAGACTGGCAAATGGAATCAACACTCAGACATCAAGATACCATAGACACCAGAAGTAATAGGTCACAGTGGTGGAGTTCTTATCTGTGGAGAGAATTCGGCTCGCTGTTTGTTTCACTGACTGACGTGCAAACCTTCGCAAGGCATTGATACCTAGTCTATGGGATACTAGAGGGTAGTTATCATCCGACAAGGACGCCCATGGTCGATGGTGGCACTGGGGCTCCAAGCAATCCTCACTGAGCAAAACAGGCTCACCTCAGGCAAACCCTCGTCCGTGTAGATCATGAACACAAATGTCGCAAATTGCTCCTTTACCGAAGGCTCTTTGATGCTGACACGACGACATCCAACGTTGAACAAACTCTCTGGATGGCTATGTCGCCGAAGAGCGTAGACAAATCATCAGCTTCTACCGGGCGCACCGGGTCCAACTCCAACCGCTGTTATTGTTGGTTCTGTCTCGGCAGCCCACCCCTTCGTCGAAGCAGCCGAATGCCAGCGCCAGCACCTGGATGATTCAAAACTAAACATCAAACGGCGAACACCAAAGTAACATACCAGTAGCGATCTTGCTGGCAAACTCAGACCGAGTGCTCAGGGATGCAAGCATACATTTCTGGTTTGTGAAAATGGAAGCCAACAACACAGTCCTGCGACGGGTTTCCATGTAGGTGTTGAACACGGCGCCGCTGAGCTTCGTTCTTCAAGCAAAGCTATGACTGCGCCGACAGCTCGCATGACAAAATACAAGCAGGTGCCAGACAGGCTTTCTTGATGTTGATTTACTGCGGCGACATAATGGACGGTTTATTTGTGAAGAGGCGCCGGCTTTAAATAAGTCGTGTAACATGAAAGGCGATCACAACACGCTTTGGATCGTACTGGCAATGCCTAGGTCCAACGTCACACTTACGTATGCTTGGTGTCTTTGTGTGAATGCCCATCATTGTAGAAGCATGTTGTAGCGCCACCACAGCTGGCATCTCAGGACAAACTGCCAAGAGAGCTAAGCTACCCGGCCCCATCCAGCACGAAGCAGTAAGCAAAGATAAGCAAAGCCCGTAGATGGCAGATTGGCCACACTTCAGGCAGCTAGCAGCTAGCCGCTACCAGCCTTGTTCCCAACAATTTCCGGCACTGATGGCCCTTCAGTCGACGGCACCACGCGAGCTGAGCGAGGAATCTCGCCGGCGAGCAATTCCAGGCGCCACCATGCCATCGCAACCCTGAAGCAGGGCGTTTCTTGGTTCAGCTCCAGAAGGTCTTCCCTTGGATTCATCGATTGATCCGAAAGCTTGTGGCGTTGAAGATGCTTCTCCCGAGAAACCATTGTAATTGAGAACGGATGCCGTTGCTTGGGCACAATCTCGGAAATTTCCGAAATTTCGCTGAATGCAAAAACCAAAGGTTTCTGCCGCAGGATGCATGGGAAAGCTTTGCTTCGACAGGGGTTTTGCAACCGACTTTTCTTAGTGTGCCAACAAATTTCTTGGCCCTCCGAACTCCCCGCTTGCCAAGATCATGGTTACATTCATCATAATCATGTCGTGAGAACTTCAGTGAGAACAGGAATCATTGCGCTCAGTCGGTGTCGGTAGCTCGTACTGCGCGGCTTCACTTGGCACGAAGCAGATGCCAATCTTTACTTAACGAGACAAAGGGATGCAAGGTCTTGCGGAGTTGTCATGCTCTCTGCCACTTAGTCATGGAGCGTACAAACACATCCAAACACAAGTTTGCGCAAACTCAAGACTCAAGGCGAACCATTCAAGCAACGGGCCTTGCGTCAGCCACGCCGGTGTTCGGCGATGTGGCGCAAAGCTTCAGCAGGACATCTCGCGCTTGCCCTCTTTGACCTGCACGGAAGGTGAATTTGGGAGAGGACGAGGCACACCGACAAAACTCTGGCAAGGTAATGGCAAGCAAAGCCACATCGATGATCTGCATGCATTGGTCTTCCGTTCATTGTCTTGTTTCGACTCTCACTCTCGCACACAGCAGGCAAGGCTCCACCTTTGTCCGTCATGCAGGGGAGGCAGCTGGGCTTACCGTCACCCCACAAATCACACAAAGGCTTTGCACTCTCACAACTCGGACAAGCCAGAGGATCCGTATGTGCGCAGTCGGCGTGAAAACAAGATGACTAGATGCACATACAGGCTTCAGGAATCATGATTAAACTGATGCTGGTGCGTGGCATCGAAGGCCAGCTGAGCGACTAGCTGATTTTTTTTTGCGACCGCCGTGGGCGCTCAGTGACGATCTTTGATTGCAGCCTGGCTTAGCAGCCTATGTCTCGGGAAAGGCGAGGGCCATGTGTAACGAACCCGAGAAGGCAGCCTTGCTCCCAAAGCGCATGAGCATAGGCGAAGAAAAGCCTCGAACAAAGTCAATGGATTGAGGCTCAGCCATTGAGGAAGAGGACGATTTTTGCATTTGTCCTGATCCTGTGCAGAAGAAGATGCATAAGTATGTACTGTGCCCTGGCCAGTCTGGCTCTCCCTGCGACCCTAGCCAGACCTGACCTGTATTCACATCGCACATGCGAACTACACGATTTCGCCTGTGAGTGGCCACTCCTAGATCGGATTAGACCCTTCCAACATATGCGAGTCCACCGTTTTACAAACGACAGAGCACCTGAAGCAACAAAGATAATGTGTCCCAGGAGGAAACCCTATGCGTATAGTGTATACCACCAAAATACGGAAAAGGGAAGCCCTGAAGCTGCAAAATCGACAGCCCAACCCTGAGCCTCGGGTCGTCTGATGCTCGCAGCACTCGGCGCGGCAGCTTTACCGCCTCCGCAGTACGTATGATAAAAGCACTGGCGCTCCGTGTGGCTGTGGTTTGAACACACAGACGCCGATGATGACGGCATTTATCCTCACTACTACTACTACTACGACGACGACGACTACTACTACGAGTACTAGTACTGCTACTGCTACTGCTACTGCTACTGCTACTCCTACTGCTATTGCTATTACTACTACTACTACTACTACTACTACACTTACTACTACACTTGCTACTACACTTACTACTACACTTACTACTACTACTACTACTACTACTACTACTCCTGCTGCTGCTGCTGCTGCTGCTACTACTACTACTACCACTACCACTACGACCACTACTACTACTACTACTACTACTACTACTACTACTACTACTACTACTACTACTGCTACTGCTACTTCTCCTATCACATCAACATCGGGATCGTGGCTTTCGCGTTATCGTCAGGGTCGTTACC